CTCTCTCTCTCTCTCTCTCTCTCTCTCTCTCTCTCTCTCACTCTATCTTCAAAAAAATAAAATAAATAAAATAAAACAGGTGTATCCTTGGAAAACACTGGAGAAAGGCAAGTAGTTCTGATGATGGCGGTTGTGGGGGGTGGCGAGGTGGTTTTCCAGACAGCACCTCGTGTCATGGACTCTAAAGCATGTGTCCCTAGTGTTCCAGCATGCCTCATGTCTCCAAGACAGGTGCCCCTCAGGCCTCTGCTGCAGGAATCTGCTGGGCCTGCATGGAGCCTCCCCTGACTTCGCCTCTCCGTCTCCACAGCTCCCCAGTGGCACAACAGCTCTCCTTCCTGCACAATGGCCTCCTGAGCAACCTGTACCTGCACACCTCTGACTGCCCGGTGCCTCTGCTCCAGTGGCTGTTCCAGGTGAGGAACACAGACTGCCACCAGGTGGCAGGAGCGCGGCAGCCTCATGGCACATAGGCCAGCAGGCAGGAAGGACCAGCCACTTCAATTCGCCTGCCTGAGGGTCAGGGAGAAGCACTAGAGCACCCTGGAGCCAACCCCGATCTGAATGCAGGGCAGGAGGATGCTGCCTGGCCTTAGGCCCCACCCATAGCTGTCCCCGTCTGGGGATGGGCAGGTCACAAGTTCCAGCTGGTCCCAGTGCTGCCAGTTGGAGCCTGGAGCCCAGCTGTAAATCAGAGCCACCATGAGGGTGGATTATTCAAGGAACGCCTCAGCCCAGTCAGCCTGGCCGCCTTCCAGAAAGAGCTCTCACTGCTGCTCTGGGGTCCTGCATGGTGCTCCTCCCTGCCTCAGAGGAGAAGGGTGCCAGCTCCTGGGGCCCCTGTGTGTGGCTGTTGCCCTCATCCCTAACCCAGGCCTGGGGGGATGGCGGATGAAGAGCAGGGAACAGTGTGGTCATTATTCTCTGACCCCGTCTGCGCAGCTTCTCTCTGCTCCTTGCACAGTATGTGACAGAGTGACAATTGGGCATTGGGAGACACAAAGAGACCCTCTAAGGCAGCACCCACAGAGGGTCCCTGTGTGGCCCCCGACACCCTGTGAAGCACCCTCCCACAAGGCTCAGTCCTCACAAGGCTCTGAGCCCCCAGCCTCGGCCAGCCAGCTGGATGGAAGAACCCTCCCCGCCTCTTTTCCCACCTCTGCTGGGCCAAGGTGGGGGCGTGTCGAGGACTCAGCCCTGTGGCCGACAGCTGAAGTGCAGGCTCTGGCACTGCTTTGCGGGTGTCACCTTGGGTGAATCACCTGGCATCAGCTCTGTACGTATACTGAGCCTGTAGTCCCATGTGGAGGTTAAATGAGTAAGTCCTACAGACCACCCTGCCCTGTGGGACCCCCACGCTCTGCTTAGGGCCTGGGCGTCATCCACAAGAAGAAACCAAAGCCTCGTGTCTCCTCTGGACTGAAGCCCATCAGTGAGTGGCACACAGGACCTGGGAGCCTTCTGGGGGCACTGGGTACCTCCACACTCATGCACTTTAGGGAAGGTTTCAGCTGGGAGGGGCAAAGAACCCTGGGGGTTCCTTACAGAGATACAGGGGTAGGGGATCCCAGGGCAGGGATGTGCTGGACCTCAGGAGGAGCTAGAGCCAGGGTCAGGGAAGGGCAGGATCCTAGGTCACTTTCTTCTCCTCCAGTTTCCATGGCCAAGTAAGGCCAGGTCCTATTCCCAAATTGGAATCCCCAGGAAGGAGAGTGTGCTTGGCCTAGGAGAAGCCAAGTGGCCTGTCCCTTCACAGGCAATTGGATGAGTACAGTGGCAGCAGGGCTGGACTCGTGTGTATGTGAGCTCCATTCTGAGAACTAGGGGCTGGGATGGTCAGCTACTTCCTCTGTGCATTCAACTGCTTCCTGAGGACATCCTGAGTTCTCACGAGGACTCAGTCAAGTGCCTACCTCTTCCCCTTCCCAGGGCCTTCTGTTGGTGTCCTGTGGGCCCTGGTCACCAGGCTTTGGCCCCAGTGCTCTTGACCTCCATGAGCTCATCCCTGGGCCTTATGTGCATCTGCCAGCAGGCCTTCCAGGGAGTGGACAGAAGTAGGTAGCATTCACCCTTGGCAAGTTTATATTCTTATTGGGAGATGTTAAAACATTCAGTTCTGAAATAGTGAAAAGAAGGAAGGAAAGGAGGACGGCCGAGGCCGAGGCTCTGCGGCCGAGTTTCTGCAGGCTTTTTGGGCAGCTCTCCTGGGAACCCTACTGTGAGGGGGTACAGTGGCAGGCTGGCAGAGTGCTGAGCAGCAGGCAGTGAACTGCAGGAGAGATGCCTGACAGTCACAGTCCAAGGCTGCCTGAGACTAATGGCCATTTAGAGTTGTCCCAGTGGAGGCCAGGGGCCCAGCACTAGCCAGTTAGCAGATGCAGGCTGCCCTTGGAGAGGGGCGTGATTTTGGGTCAGGCACGTCCTACAGAGTCACTGCCAGAGGACCTCAGCTCAGGGTCCTCTGGTCCTTGTGGGAACAAGAGTCTCAGTTCCCAGAGGGGAGCATCCACAGTGCCTGCCACAGCACTGAGCAGCCCTATGCAGGAGCCCCACCAGCCAAGGCCTGGCCTTGTCCCTGTGTCCCCAGACTGGATGGCACTCCATTGCTCATTTCCATGTCACACTCTCTCCATGGCCTAAATCCCTAGCACATGGCTCTTGGGCTCAAGGGGCATTCAAGTAAGGACCCCAGTGAGTTTGAGTTAGGCGGGCAACTACCCTTAGTTGTTCGAAGATCTGTGCCCAGTGCCCAGGACCAAGCCAGAACCAAGCCAGATAAGTTAAAGTGCTGACCTGGACATGATTTGAAGTCACAGCAGGGCCAACGCTGTCATCAGACAGCTGACTGTGGCCAGTGCTTACAAGCCCTTTCTCTTCCCTTCCACTGGCTCCTGCCTTAGAGGGGACATGGCTGTGACTGCAGGGAATGAGGGCAAAAAGACCAAGACCCCACACAGGTCATGTGGAAGGAGATTTCAGGTCACATGCATGTACCCCTGGGCCTCAGTCCTCACATTCCTGCTTACTAGCCGCATACCCTAGAGGAGCTGTTGATGTCTCTGAGTGCGATTTCCTTGTCTGTAAGGTGGCAATGACAACAGTATCCTCTACCACTTAAACTTGTGAGGACTAAGTGGCATTATTTAATATGAAGAACAGACTTTTGCTGCAGTTACTCCACAGGAATAACCTTTTTTCCTTCCCTAGCTGTTAACATGGCCTCCAGAAACTTCTTCAAGAGCCTTCGCCCTCCTGTGGGATCTCAGTGTGGATGGGCTCTTCTGTCAGTCTGGTCAGTACTGGGATGCAGGGCGGAGCAGAGTAGCTGAGCTCTCAGGCTTGTGTAACACAAGACTTTGGGTGTCCCTGAAGCCCAGTGGTGGGGACGTTGCGTCACCCAAGGTGGAGACATCAGGCTCTTTGGCTCTGGCTCCAGCACTAGTAAAAAGCTGAGTTGACAGGCTTTTGGCACCTTGATCTGGTTTCAGATCCAGGTCACTGTGGAAATTCAGGCTGACCTCACAGGCCCTGGGGGTCCTACAGCAGTCCAGGAAGCTGGGCTCAGACCAGGCAGGCCCCAGGTCTAAGGGGACAGCTTACCTCCAAGGTCTTGCAAGGGTCCAAGTTTGCCTTGGAGGGTTCCAGGAGCTTTGCCTCAAATCAGGGTGACCCCTGGGGCGGGGGCGACCAAGGCAAGTGCGCCAAAGAGCCCCTCCACAGCCCTCCTCCACTGATGGGCGTTCCCAGAGCCCTGGATTTCTCCAGGCTGCGTGAGAGCCTCGTTTGTGTCTCGGTGGTGGCAATTGGGGGCGTATTTAGTTCAGAGTCCACAGAAACAGTGTCTTTGCTCCCTTCCCAGCTTGTCTGCCGTTGGTACCTGAACTTAGACACTTTGGCACCAAAAAATATCAAGTAACCAGTTGAAAGTTGCTTAAAGCAGATGGTGAGAGGGATTTGCGAGTGCCCAGACCCTGCCTTTGCCCAGCCATAGTCGCCCACCTGCCTGCCAAAGCACGACCACGCACGGTGTCTCAGGCCAAGATTGCAGCCTGGCACACCGTCAGCCCCAGCCCTGTGAGAGGTCTGTATTGTGCTTCTCTGCGTTAGGAGGTGGCTGAGCTGGGGGCCATCTGTCAGTTGGAGCATTTCAGCCGCCTCCACCCCTCCCCCAGGGAAGCCTGACTGAGGTCTTCTGAAGAGCAGCAGTCTTCACCCTTTCCCTTTTCCTAACCTCTGCCCCTGCAGCCTGGGCTGCCCTTTGGGGCCCTGGGGCCGCCTCTGCGGCATGCCTGCCCTTTCAGGAACAGAGGCCTCCCTGTCCTGGCCCTCTCCCTGCAGAGGCAAGCGTCTCTTCCACAGAGGCGGGGACATCCCCGCCTCTCGTCCCATTTCTCCTGATTCACCCTCTGTCAGGAGCGGCCAGAAAGCAGCTCTTGAGCCCCTGGTCAGCTCACCCCTGCTCCTCCAACTCCAGAGCATTTCCTGTGGATATCACCTGAGAGCCGGATCTGGATTCTCTTCCCTCGCCCAAGAGGATAAAGATTGGCCTAGAGAATTCCATGCCTGAGATTAGGATCATCAACAATTCAGGGCAAGTAGAGGCAGGGTCCATGGAATAACTCAGGTAGGGACCCGAGTAGAGATTTGCAGACTGATAGATATTCACTGCAGCATTGTTCACGAGAACCGAAAGGTGGAAACAACCCACATGTCCATCAATGGGGGAACGGATAAAGCAAATACAGTATATGTGTGTACTGGAATATTATTCAACCTCTAAAAGGAAGATATTCTGTCATAATGGTACAGTGTGGATGAGCCTTGAAAACCTTGTGCTAACTGAAATAAGCCATTCTTAAAAGGCCTAGTGCCTCTTCCTCTTACTCCACTCACATGAGGTCCCTGGAGCAGTCAAATTCGTAGAGACAGGATGTGAAACGGAGGCTGCCTGGGGCCAAAAGAAGGAGATGGGAATTGTTAAGTAGATGCAGAGCTCCAGTTGGGAAGATGATCTCGATGGCTTCCTGCCAGCGTCAGTGTTCCAAACCCTGTCATACCACATGCTTAGAAATGGTGGAGGTTCAGGTCAGCGGTAGGGCTCGAACCCAGGATCTTGCCCATGCTAAGCACATGGCAGCTCCAGCCCAAGGACCATCTCTAAGGGGTGGTTAGGTCCAGGATGGGTGCAGGGGGATGTCCTGCTCCTCAGGACTTGCCCACAGCAGGGTGTCTGCGGGGCTGCCTGTCCCTCTACTGTACTGTGTGTGGGAGCGCGCGTGCGTGCGTGCGTGCGTGTGTGTGTGTGTGTGTGTGTGTGTCTTCAAGTCAGCCTGACTTTTCTCGTGTAAAACTCTCTCCTTGTCTGTGGTTTGTCGTGGCTGTCATGGGAGGCTCTTATGCAAGCATTTATGTCTCAACCTATTTCCTGAGTCAGGGAGAGCTGATGGGCGAAGGATAGACCTGGGACCCACCTTCAGAGCAGTGACTGTCAGGGACCTGCTGCAGTGCCAGGCTGGGGGCTTGGTTGTCCCGAGGTGCAGTAGTGCTAGGGGTGGGGTGGGGACCAGGTTCCTGGTTGAGAAGTGGCCCGCTTCACTGGTGCTGAGGTCAGGGTGAGTCAGAGAACGAGCGTTCCAGGTGCCGTTCCTCAGGGCAGGGACTATGCAGCCATTTATTCGGCAGAGGTGCGCTGAGGGTCTCCTGTGTGCAGGCACCTTGCTGGATGCAGAGGGAGATCAAGGAATGAAGGAGACATGACTGCTGTCCTGGGACAGCACGGTCCAGCGGGATGGCATGAAACAAGCTACTCAGGAGGGTGGACACGTGACTTCCAGCTGGCCGGGATGGTGCGTGGAGTGGCAGGAATCAGGACATGCCTTGTAGAAGAGGGGTGCCAGAGCTGTGGCTGGAGAGACACAGGAGGCAAGGATGGTAAACCCGCTTGCCTGCGGGAGTGCAAAGGCAAGAGAGCTCTTCCCTGTCAAAAGAGGCTGTCTGCTCTGGGATTGGTACACATGAGTGTGGATCTGGTATCACCAGATCTTTCTGTTTTCAAGAGAAGTTATGTTTTAGTGAGGATCTGCTTTGCCTCTCAGTAACAAACTCCTGATGAAGCTTATCACACATGATAGTAGGTGGGGGTGGGGTCCATGATGTGTTCAGCATCAGGCTCGGGCCTATGTGTCCACCCCTTCCACCACTTCCCCTCAGGGCTGCAAAATAGCTGCCATGGCCCCAAGCATCATTTTGTTCCTGAGACAACAGTATTCAAGGTAGAAATGAGGTTATCATTTTGCATACCTTTTTCTTTTTATCAGGACATTTTTTCCATTTTGTTTCATTAGCTTGTGACAGAACTGGGTCACAAGCTTTAAAAGATACTTCCCATATTTTCCAACTGTTGGTGCATTTGAATATCCTGGCTCTATCTGAAGAATTTTCATCCTCAGGAATCCTGCTCTTCCAGGGCAGAACCCAAGGAACTCGATTTTCCAGCCTCCTTTCCAATATATAAAAGTTTAGCTTTTGAATTAATCCCCAAACGGTACAGTGTAGCAGTTACATATATGGCATGACATTGTGTTAGGTGTTATAAGTCATTTGCAGATGATTTAAGGAATACTGGAGAATGTACTTAGTTTGTATACAAATACTATGCCATCTTACATAAAGATTTGAGCATTCTTAGACCTGCAGAAAGTCCTAGAATCAGTTCCCCTAGACAGAAAGGGGTAGTTATATTTTCTTGAGTATCTCAAACATAGTTATAACAGCTCCTTCACATCCTTTGTCCGTCATTGTAATGTCTGGTAGTGGGGATTGTTTTTGGTATTGGGGATTGAACCCAGAGGTGCTCTACCAATGAGCTACATTCCCAGTCCCTAGTCCCTTTTTATTTATTTTGAGGCAGGCACTTCCTGTGTTGCTGATGCTGGCCTCGAACTTGTAATCCTTCTGCCTCAGCATCCCAAATAGCTGGAATTACAGGAGTGTACCACCACACCTGGCAACATTTAGGTCATTTAAATTATCAGGTGGAAAACTCAGAATAAAAGTAAACCTTTCTTTAGAATGACTAAAAAAATCATCCCAAATCCTGGACTCTGGGATCTTTCTCCTAGACCTCTTCAGGTACTTTCCAGAAATGCTCATGTAGAGATGCTTCTTGATTGCAACTTGTCTTCCCTACCTACCCTAGAGTACTCACTGGGGCCCATGCAAGTGAGGGGCCTAAGCCTTGGCTAATTAGCTTTATGGTAAACTGGCCACTGGTATGTAATAAACCTGATTTCTGCTGAAATGGTCAGGGCCTGTTTCTGTTGCTTGTGGCTCAGAGCTTGGACTTCTGCAGTAGTCACTCTTATCCCAATCTCTGTGGAAGCAGATGGAATAACATGGCTCTTCAACCGGGGTGGACTCACTCTCCTCGCCCTGAGCCGACGCCGGCACAAAACTGGGGTTCCCATGCAGGGAAGAAGTGTATATGGCTCTTGGACCAGCAGCCCGCAGAATATGCCACAGCTAAATACAGATGTTGACGTGAAATCTCCTCTTAGAACTAGTTGACTTAAAGAGAAGAGAAGCAGGAAGAGGGGGCTTCCTCACAAGGGCAGAGTGGGGCGGGTGGAGCAGAGGGAGCCTCCGCCCAGTGAGCCTGTGCTCCAGAAGAGCAAGGTCCTACCAATCACCGCCACCAAACATACTAGAAAGCGGACGGGCGGAGAACGCAGGGGCCACTGAGGCACAGGGAAGCTTTAATAATATTTGACGAGACCACAGTGGAATTGTGGGGGTTTCCCCCCACATACTACACAGTTAATCCTTTTATAGTGTGTAATTTTGTGGTTCTTAGTACTTCCACAGAGTTCAACTGTCACATTCTCAGAACATTCTCATGACCCCCCCCCCAAAGTAACTCGTTCCCATCAGCAGCCCCTGCCCATGATTCCCTTCTTCCCCAGCTCCTGGCAGCCTTGGTCCACCTTCTGTCTCTGTGGATTTGCCTCTTCTGGACACTTCCCATAGAGGGAGTCATGGAGCGTGCACTTTTGGTATCCTGCCGCTTTCTCAACCAGGTGTGTTCAAGGTCCATGCAGGTCCCAGCACTCCATTCCTCTCAGGGCTGACTATGGTTCCATTGCACAGGTGACCACATTGTGCGGATCTGCTCAACAGATGACAGACACGTGGTGATTGTGAGTTTATGAGCACCTGCATGCAGGTGTTTGGGCATATGGTTTCAATTTGGTCCAGTCTAGTCTCAGGAGAAGAATTGTGGGATCACATAGTAGC